GGTAAGGATTTTTGACACTTTAAAAACAGAAAATAATTTTTTCCAGAGATTTTATTTCCTGAGCACTGGGGGGGGTGTCATATTTGGAGGCCGTGCAGTTAAGGGGTTAAAGACTGCACAGGGTTCAGATATCAGTGAACATAATGCTGGTTATAACATTCACAGCATGAGGCAGACATCCACAGTGGACAACCACAGTTGTCATGATGCATCTGTGCATTATGAAATGAACTTCATTTTACTTTTGAAAATAAACTTGTGGAAAATAATTCATGCTCATAATTATTATTATTATTATTATTATTATTATTATTATTTTCTACCACAGATGTGGACACACACAATACTCATGATTTACTGACCAGAATTCTGATAACAACAGTGTTGTGATTAGAGTTAGCAATGTGGGTAATATATAGGGAGACAGTTTGCAGAGTAAGGTGTCATTGTCAGCTTGTGGCCCTATTCTGTCCTTGGGTTTCACTACCATACCCACCAGAACTGCTTAATGATTTGTTATGGTGTATAAAATGTAGATAGTTATATACTGTATATATATAATGTGTGTGTATATAGTGTAATAAAAGCAAAACTGGTATGTTTTATTGTTCAAAGAATGTAATATTGAACTCCTGTTAATGACAAACTTATCTGTGCATACCAATATTTTACACGTTTTGTGATAAATATTGTTATTGACAGCCCAATGCAACATTGCACTTGAAAAAAACCATTGTAAAAACATAAAAAGCATGAAGAAAATATATATTAATATGTGCAGTTACAATTTTGTGCAAAATATGCCAGGCTAGGCTGAATAATCACTGGTTATGAGATTACGACACCCACCAAAACTGCTTAGTGGTTTGTTATGGTGCATAAATTGTATAGTTATATATAACATAAGTATATACTGTAGAATTATGACAGCAAAAACTGTACAGTGTTTTATTGTTCAAAGAATATAATATTGAAATCATATTAATAAATATATATGTGTGTACCTATATTCTACACATGGTAAAAGCATTAAAAATTGTAAGAAAATTTAATATATTCATTGTGTTAATGTAGTTACAATTTTGTGCAAATTATGCCTCATTAGGCTATTTGATCAATGAACTGGATAACTGGTTACAAGATTATTACATCCACCATAACTGCTTAGGGGTTCATAATGATGCATGAATTTGTAGTTATACATAACTTGTACTGTATGTACAGTGTAATAACAGGAAAAACAGTACAGTATGTTTTTTAATATGAATATTTAATAAGAATTTAATATTGTGGGCATATTAGTGACACAAATATATTTGAGCATTTTGATGTTCCACACATTTTATTATAAAAATTTCTCAAAGAACACTGTTGAATAACATTACTGCAAGAAACCTGAGATAAAACTAATGATAGATATTGAAATAAATAGTGTATCCAAAAATATCTTCACGGTAACTCTCACCCCATGGTTGGGCTGGGGCCCCTCCCACAGAGCGAATGCTGTGTGAGCACTTGTGAACCTGTCAGACTTACGGACATACAACTTTTTTTTTTTTTTGGCTGATGAGCAGGGAAAACATTTTAACTATTAACACTTTCGCGTTCCACAGACTGAATAATTCGTCACTCATTTTTCTACTGAATGTGTTCCAACGACGCAATACTGAGTCACTCATTACAATATTTTTTAAAAATTTAAATTTTATCAGATCAATCTGGTAGTGGTTTTAAAATAAGCGCCTTTAGATTGCACACAATTTGATACCAAAATCAAAGATATAACATGAAACTTGATGTCCAAACACTTGAAATATTATAAATAGGTCTATGGTCTGAATATTAAAATATTTGTTAAAATTCTATTTATTGTCCTATTATCTTGGGACTTGTTTTAAAATGTGCGCCTTTTTATTGCGAACAATTTGATACCAAAATGAAAGATGTAACACAAATATTTATGTCAGAACACTGGAAAGATATAAATAAATTTGTGATGATGAGCGTCCAGAATTAAAATATTTGTTAAAAATCCAGTTATTGCTCTATTATTCTGGGACTAGTTTTAAAATAATCGCCTTTTTATTGCGAACAATTTGATACCAAAACGAGCGACGTAGCACGAAATTTGATGTTATCAAATTGAACGAGTTGAACATTAGGTTGCAATGTACAAAATGGTTCTCGTTCATGGGTAACTTTAGGCTTTTCTGCGGGGAGGCACTCCAGCCTTTTGTACATTTTATTCATACACATCTGTAGGGAATTTAATTGCGAACACAATGATACCAAAATGAGCGACGTAGCACGAGAATTAAGGTAAAAAAATGGAACGAGAATGCACATGTTACTGATTTTGTGCGTTTTTGCCGACTTTACGCTTTGCTGTTGGGAGTCACGCTAGGCTTTTGGACATTATATTTATACACACCTGTAGAGAATTTAATTGCGAACACAATGATACCAGAATGAGCGACGTAGCGCGAGAATTAAGGTGAGAAAACTGGAACGAGTATACACATTTGAGTGTCACCGTGCGCTTACCCGCACGGAGGGGCCACGATCCCCCTGTCAACCGCGAGTTTCCACGGAGCGCGAAAGTGTTAATAAGAATTTTTTTTCTCGCACATTGGTGGGAAGTTGGCTGTAAGCGGGCGTAGTGCAGAGGTTAAACATGCACTAAGAATACAGTTCTTACTATATTGTAAATTATGAGAAATGTCAATACTGTACCAGAACTGGAAATCCCTGGAACTAAGGCTCCAGGGATACTCTACCTTCTTTGGTCAGCTATGGTCATAACATATCTAGTTAGAATTTACATCCTTAGATTAGGAGGGGTTAATATAGGTTTATAAGCTTTGAAATGGTAGAAGCATACTGTATGCTTTTCACATTGTTAGAATGGGCTAGGATATTTTTCTTCTGTTGGTCTTAACTTCCAAGATACTGGTCATTTGCCTCTACCATATGGGCCTTTTATTTCATTCAACTTTGTACACCCTTTCATTTAATGTTTCTCGGTATCTTTAACATGCCCATACCAACTAAGTGTTTTGCATTTTATCCACTTCACATTTTTCTCCTTCACCCATTTTACTCATATCATCTCTCAAATATGTCCTCATTGTAATATCTATCTGATATATAATATAATTTTTTTTTCACTGCTTGTACTCTTGAACGCTGCCACTTTCCATACCTCATTTCACTTCAATGGCATGCAGGGAGCAGTATACTATGTTTAACTTTTCTTAACTCCCATACAAACATTCCTTCCTTTCATTATAACATTCACCTCTCTTACAATTACCCTCACCAAGGTAGATGTTGTATTTGTCTTTTTTTTCTTTAATTTTACTTACAGATTACTAATTCGGAAGAAAAAATTAATATTGAATTTTCTTCTAACATCATAAGTGTGGCTATCATAAATGGTGCTACCTGTGCATAAATGAAAAGAAAAGAACAAAATAGATTTTTATAAAATTTTACATTTGCATGCAAAAAGTAAAGAAAAAGAAAAAAAAGAATGTAAATATCCAAGTCTCTTTCTGGGGAAAGTCTCAAAAAGCTTCAGGGAGCCTCAAGTCCCTTGAGGCTCCCTGAAGCTATTGCACCAATTCGGTGTCATATTAGTAGGTGCCGTCAGTTGCAGAGTTGTTTTTTGGCCTACCAGGGACCACAAGCCAGAACTTGGCCCCCCTCAGAGGTGAAGGGAATGGTGGTCTATAAATACTTTACATCTAAAGTTAAATCATGTCTATATGATTAGTTCCTTGAGGTTGTCTGGGCAGGTGGAAGCTGCGCCTGGTGTTGGTCTGGGTAAGCCATCGCTAGAGCTTGTGGGTGGGTTGTAAGCTCAACTGCTGCTGCTGCTGTGGCTAGTTGGCGCTGGGTTTGCTTTGCTGCCAAGGTGGCATCTCAGGATTTGCACTGACTCTTTAGCAGTTTGTCTCGTTGAAGAGGCAGTTGGGGGTTAGCTTACCCGGTTTACCAACACCTGGTCCCACAATTTGTGGGCCTTTTGGGTCGTCTCTCTTGGCCTGTGGTGGAATTGGTCGGTCCTGCCTCCTTTCGGAGGTTTGAGGCTGTCCTAGCAGGCTTCCTCTCCACATCTCTCAGGTCATCTCTAGTTGGGAGGCTTTTTCCTGATACAGTAGTCGAAACAACTTATTCTCTTTGGTGGGTGTCCTAGATTTCCCTGGCCTATGGCTGCCATGTTGGTGAGCTTCATACTCTCCTTTGGCACTGGGGTTTTTGTTCATCTTCAGCCAGCTCCGTTTCTGGCAAAGAATGATTTGGTTGGCTTTTGGAGGGATCCGTTGGTTGTTGATGTTTGGTTGGTTCAGCCCAGGGTGCATAATGTGTTGTGTTCAGTGGCGACTCTGTGTCACTACTTTCGTGCCGCCGATTCTGCATTGGTGGATGTCTAGTGGGTTGTTTTAGTCTCCCTGGTGCTGTGTCATCAAGTCTAGCCAGCCTGCGGTTTACCCTTGTGCCTATGACGTTTGGAAGTATGCCGCGCCTTCAGTTGTTTTTAAGAATGCCCTTGGCTGATATTTGGGTGCAGGGGTTTTAGAGGTTGAACAGAGTTTTGGCAGCCCGGTATCTTGTTCCTAGGCCTCAGTGCCCTAATGTGACCTTGGATTGGCTTTTACAGCCGTGTCTCTCTCCGCTTCGTCCTGATTCCTGTAGTGCTCCCTCCTGAAATGTGCCCATTTATTTTCTGTGGGTAGTTAGCTTCAGGGAATCACAAGGGGCTTTCTCCAGAAAACCTGCTTTGATTTTAATGAAACACCAATCTCTGGGTGAGTCCTGGTGGCTCCCTGACTCCCTCCCTCCCTACCTTAGGAGTAGGGGTCTCTTTGCATCATTTGGCGAACTGATGGCGGAGTTGCTTGAGAGCCGCCGCCTGCCCTCCTCCTCCCTTGAAATGAGGAGGGGGGGGGGGCAACTGAGCTGGCACTGGTTTCGTGACAGTTTTGATTGTTTGTTTACATTGGCCATTCTTGAGGTTGCAGGTCTCGGTGGTGGCTAGTAGTGGTTTGTCTCGACTCGTCTCACTTTCTGGGTGCCTTCCTCAGTGGTGGCATAAATGAATTAGATAATATATAAATACCATGACTCTGCAACTCTGTGGGGGAGGGGGTGCAGGTTCTGGCTCTTGGTCCCTGGTAGGCTGTAGAATTCTGCAACTCCTACATTGGAGATAGCTTTAGGGAGCCCTCACCCAGAAATTTGTATTTCATTACTTTCAATGCTGGGTTTTTAAGGGTCTAGGTTAATTCCTTCACATCCATATAGATGTATTATAACCATATTTACATTATTTAAAAGTTAGGGGTAATAATTAAATTCAGCAAATGATAATTGTAATATCCCAGGGATCAACATATGATATAATCATATTTTAAGGATAAATATATATTATTTTTGCCAATCTTGCTTGGATAAAGCTATTTGAAGGGTAAGAGGGGTACGGTAACTCTTTATGGAAGTGCAAAATTTATGGATATTCCCATTGACATTTTGGTCAGTTTTATAACCACCTTACTTAAGTAATGAAGGCTGGGTTGGGAAATTTAGATAATACTGAAGCTAAAATAGATGTAATAAGCATTTAAAAATGTAGACAAACCTTATGTTTGACATTAAAATGAATATCATCGAATACTTCAGCAATGGAGCTATAAGTTGTGGAAAATTGTGTTGAATGTTTCAGTATACAAGACTGATGCCATAGGCTTGGTGAGCTAGTGAGTAGATTATAAGGCTGAATTGTAGACAAAATTATCAAGATCTGTCTTTTTGACAAATTATTTGTGATGTTCAGGCAGATTATGCTATTTTGCATAACATACTCAATTAAAGGGTCGCAGAGATTAGGAGTTTTTACTGCTGTTGGTCTGAATGTTGTGAACGAAACAAAACTTATTAATATTTTATGAAATTCTCTTGTGCTACTATGCTCATATCTAAATATTTGCTTGTATGGACTTTGTTTGGAAATAATGCAGAAAATTGTTATGAAGGGACTTTCTGCAACATTGGCTACTGTATTGGCCATACCAATGATGGAAGTAGTAGTGCTTCAGGAAGAAGTGGAGTTGCCAGCAAGGCAGAACTCCCCTTACAGTGATGAGTGGAAAAGGACCACTCACCTACCAGACTTGTTGCTGGCACTCAGTAACCAGAGCTTTGCCACAGCTTCTGGACTCTGGTGCCACCCTTGGAAGGCCATGCAGAAAGTGGTGTGGTCCACATATTCTGCCCAAGGAATTGGCTGTCTAGCCAAGCACACTTATTGAGCACAGTAACTTGGCTGGCATTAAATACTTTGTGCTCTATATACTCAGTGCTATGGTTTGGTGAGTATGGAAGGAAACAAAGAGGTGATTAACAATTTTCTCTTTGAATAATTTGTTTTGTTCAATTTGTGAGTGCTATTTTAGATTGCTAGCCTACTCATTATGGAAAATAATCCTTGGAACCATGTTCAACAGTCTGCAATAGAGGTTTCAAAATGTTTTTGCTTTCTTGGTCAATCTTTCTCCTAATCATTTTTTTTATTATTCTGAAGTTAAACTAAATTATTTTGCTTATTATAGCTTTTCTTTTTTAGAATAATTTTAAATACAGTATTTCATTTATGTATCCTTGATCTTGTATACTGAAGATAATTATAAAGTAATGAAATGAATTTGTGAAGTTGTTAGATATGCCTAGCTGTAATTTATATACTGTACATAGGTTTTGATTGAAGGAGTTTATTTTATCTTAAAAAAAATAATTTAGCAAATATAATGTTAGGCATAAAACTAGGTCCACTTTTAAGTTATTTAAGTACTTAAGGCTTTATGTAAATTCTAAATGTTAATTTTCCTTGTGTTGGTTTTAATGAGAAGTATTATTTTCCACAGAGACGTAGTGCAGATCGTGTGACCTCCAGACGTGGTCCCCGAAGTCCACCACCTCGCCCAGTAAATGTGCCTGGTGGCAATGGATTGGCTCATAATGGTGGTGGGGGTGGTGGTGGCGGAGGTGGTGGTGGTGGTGGTGGTGGTGGCGGCGGCGGCCGTGGCCGCAAATGGAAAGTACGCTTGCGTAGGCCTAACAAACGGTCAGCAAGGGGTGGTGGAGGAGGAGGAGGCGGCAGTGGAGGACCACCAATGTCTGGTGGCAACAAACAGCCCATTGCCTCCATGAGGATGAGAATGGATGATTATAGGCCACCACGTGCTGAAAGGCTCCTCCGTGATCCTAAAGATGGTAAGATATTTGCCTGTTTTTGTGTGCTAACATGTTTTGGCGAATCTCTGGTTGCAGCGCACACTATCCCGGCTAGAGTCACTCACTGGCTTTGTCGAAGTTGTCCCACAAAGTGGGTGATATTAAGATTTCCTTAGAAAGCAGGGCTAGAGACCACAGACCTGTGGGAAAGTTGTCCATAATATGATAGATTGAAATACATTTTCTTAGTGAAATTAGCCTGTGGAGTGTAGAAAATTGTATAGTATAAATGTTAACACTTATTATGGATCCAATCACATGTTTAAAACCTTTCATAGGTGAATAAAATCCAGGAAGAAAGAAATAGGCATAGCAATGCATTTTTCTTGTCTTAAAAAATTACATCATGCAAATGTGCATTATGTGATTACACAATTACATCATAAAGGCATTTCCAGTTGCACCGAGTCCATCACTCCAACAAATTTGGGCTGGTCCCATATAGTTTCCTGAATCATTGGGGTTCTTTATTAATATTATGCATTGTAAGTACATATTAATAATATCCAGGTAAACATAGCTGCATACATAAGTGTACATTGGCTGTGTGCTTGTGGAAAGAAGTACAATATGTTAAAAGTATGTACAGGATATGAAAGAAGTATCTGAAATATCTGTTTTTTTCCTGATCTCATAAAATACCACAGTATATAAGATGGGAATGATTGAAAAATAGATGGTGGTGTTGTGGGTATTCTAGAGATGGAAGATTATTATTTGAGAAGTTGAGAGTGAGTTGATTGTACTAGAGTTGACAAACAAATCAATGTTAACAAGAAAAATTCAACAGGTGAACCTGAAGGACAAAAATTATAATTTTTCAGAAATTAGGGAGATATTTAGTAGGCTGCAAATGTTGTGCTGATTTTTTGAGAAAGCAGAGATCACACTTTTTGAACTATCATTCAGTTAGCTTGGTGCCTATTGTGGAAGAATTGCTTTAATAAGAGCAAATGCATTAATTTACATCTTTGGTAAAAATATATTAATAAAGGCTTTACAACATAGTTTTACCAAGGGTCACTCATGTTTAGTGAATTTATGCACTTTTCCAGCCTATTAATGTGATAGTGGAATGGGTTACTACATTCTATGCCTTGGCTTTAACAAAGCCTTTGGTACTGTGCCTCACAAAAGACTCATTTGAAAGTTGAAGACACATTTTATATACATATACAGTTGTACCTCAGTTTTTTAATTTAATCTGTTCCCAGAGACAATTAAAAACCCGAACTGAATTTTCCCGTGAGAAATAATGTAAATTGTATTAATCCGTTCCACACCTTTAAAAATATTAACTAAAAAACACATTTAATACAGAATACTACTCATAGATACATGACTTTTATTGAGGGCTCTTGTTGGCATATGGAAGACAGGAAGAGGGGAGGAGGAGAGGTGTTAGTGTTTGGAAGGGGAGTCCCCTTCCATTATAACAGCAGTGATGACACTTCTGTGGTACTCTCTCTCTCTCTTACATTTTGCAGGCATACCACTAGGACCATACCACCTGGTTGTGGCTCACTGCTGGCCTGTCTTAGTAAAAATCTGTCTACAGACACTTGTTTTCCTTACGTTTTAAAACTTGTGTGTAGTGAGACTCACTATGATCACGTTGTCTCACTATGAATGATTTGTTTTTCCTCTATCGTCATCCTCACAACTATTCTTCCTCCCATGAGTCATGATATATAATAAGAACTTTTATGTTCAAAAACAGAAAAAAGCACAAAAAACAATGAAATTCTTCACAAAGAATTCAAGCGCAGTTGTCACTATCTTGAGGTTATCGAGATGATTTCGGGGCTTAGTGTCCCTGTGGCCCGGTCCTCGACCAGGCCTCCTTTTTGTTACATACCCACAGGAAGCAGCCCATAGCAGTTGTCTAACTCCCAGGTACCTATTTTCTGGTAGGTGAACAGGGGCATTAGGGTGAAAGAGAAACTGCCCATTTGTTTCCGCCTCCACCGGGGATTGAACCCGGAACCTCAGGACTACGAATCCCAAGCGCTGTCAACTCAGCTGTCAGGCTATCTCTGACAGCCTGACATATTTGTTTTTCAAAGATGTAAATTAATTCATTTGCTCTTATTGATTAAAGCAATTCTTCCACAATAAGCACTAAGTTAACTGAATGATAGTTCAATAAGTGTGATTTCTCTCCTTTCTCAAAAAATCAGCACCACATTGGTGCTGTTCTGGTATATATAAAAACAAGATGTGTAACACATTTTGTAGATAAACTTACTACAAGGCATTCTAGATAGGCATTTCAAACAAATGAAAGATTGGCATATGCAGTTAATACTGACAAATATAGATTTCTGTTGCTTAGTAATGATAAAATTGTTGCAATAGCTGGACAATGTTAAAATGGCAAAATCTGAATGCTAAAATGATAAGGCAATCATGAAAAATGGATCTTTATACAAAATGAAATCATAAATGAATGTAATAATGCAAATAAGATACGGGACATTTGCAATAAAGTTTCAAATAAGATTATTATAAATATTATTACCCAACAATAGTGTGGGTACTGTGTAAATATTTTGTTCAGTTTGATCATGAAAGATTCAAATTTGTGCCTTTCAATACAAGACCAATATACAATTACCCAGGTCATGGATGCTGAGGGAAAAGAACAATCTCAGAAGTGACTAACTAGTACTCAGCTGAGTCTTGTCTCTCCCCTGGAGGCAGGGTGTTTTGTTCCTCTTGCCCTGACGAGTGTTATGTTCCTTTGCAGCCTGCTCCTCCTTTTCCGGTAAAGATCAAGTCGGGTTGGCTTCCAGACGGGTCCTTTTGGTCTTTGATGCTTGCTTAGTTTCAGCCAGGGATGTATCACGTACTTATTAGTACTTACTATTAGTGTTTACAAGGTAGTGAGGTCTAGGTCTTTATGCCGTGCCTACTAGCCTTCTACCTGATTGATACCTGCTTGATGGGGTTCTGGGAGTTCTTCTACTCCCCAAGCCTGGCCCAAGGCCAGTCTTGACTTGTGAGAGCTTGGTCCAACAGGCTGTTGCTTGGAACTGCACGCAGGCCCACATATCCACCACAGCCCGGTTGGTTTGACACTTCTTGAAGAAAATGATCTAGTTTTCTCTTGAAAACGATCCACTCTTGTCCACGATTGTTCCGGCAATATTTCTTATACTCGTTTGGAGGATGTTGAACAACGGTGGACCTCTGATGTTTATACAGTATTCTCTGATTGTACTTATGGCACCCCTGCTCTTCACTGGCTCTATTCTGCATTTTCTTTCATATCGTTCACTCCAGTTTGTCATCATCTTACTGTGTAGATTTGTGCCCTGGTCCTCCAGTGTTTTCCACATGTATATTGTATGATATCTCTCTTGTCTCCTTACTAGTGAGTACATTTGGAGAGCTTTGAGACGATCTCAATAATTTAGATGCTTTTTCATGTCTATGTATGCCGTATATGTTCTCTGTATTCCCTCCATTTCAGCAATCTTTCCTGCTCTGAAAGAGGAAGTGAGTGCTGAGCAGTACTCAAAATAGGACAGTACAAGTGATTTGAATATTACAACCATTGTGATGGGATCCCTGGAGTTGAATGTTTTCGTAATCCATCCTATAATTTTTTGGCTGACGAAATATATGCTTGTTTATGCTCCCTAAACGTTAGTTCATCAGACATCATTATTCCCAAATCCTTTCCATGCTGCTTTTCTACCATGGGCAGATTTGATTGTGTTTTATACCCCGTATTATGTTTAAGGTCCTCATTTTTACCATATCTAAGTACCTGGAATTTATCGCTATTAAACATCATGTTAATTTCTGTTGCCCAGGTGAAAACTTTATTAATAATGTATCTGCTGAAGTTTTTCAATGTCTTCAACAGAAGTAATTTTCATGCTGATTTTTGTGTCAAGTTTGCAAAGGATGATACAAAGCTGTGACTTGTATTTTTGTCTATATCTGATATAAGAATAAGGAAAAGCAGTGGTGCACGGACTGTACCTTGAGGTACAGAGCTTTTAACTGAGCAGGAGCTTGATTTTATATGGTTAACTGTTAAGTACTCTTTGTGTTCTGTTCGACAAAACTGAGTATCCAGCATCTTACTTTACCGGTTATTCCCATTGACCTCATTTTGTGTGCTATCACTACATGGTTATATTTATCGAATGTACCTGTTGCCTTTCAATCTAACTACTCTGACTTTCAAATTCTTTGTCGAATTGGACCTTAACCAATGGTCAAGGCTAGGGCATTTGAAATATGCTATACTGTATGCGGTTAAATCTCTTCACAGATAGGTTCTCTTGGTAGATGTCCTTCATATAACAGATTGAAATGAAAATTTCAGTAGGTGAAATCAGCCCATAGAGCATGGGAAATATTAGGGTAAGGATGGTAACTATTAATATGGCTCCAATCACATTTTTAATTATTTTTATAGATGGTTGCAACATGAGAAGAAAGCGTTGGGTCCTAGGAAAAGCCACTGAATACATTTAAAACCAAACACTATGTTTTTTTTCATTTTGAGATTTCCTGGTTTTCATTTACAAATTTGGCCAGTTTTCCTCTGAAAATGAGGTTTAAAGGCATGGACATGGGAAATATGCTAGATGTGGTTAAATCTCTTTACAGATAGGTTCAGTTGGTAACTGTGATTCATATGACAGGTTAAAATTAACATTTTGCTTGGAATCAGCCTATAGTGCTTGGGGGAAATATTAGGGTGTGAATGGCAACTCTGTTAATATGGCTCCAATCACATTTTTTATTGATTGTTGTAGATGGACACAACTTTAGAAGAGAGAGTTGGGGCCTTGGGAAAGCTGTTGAGCACATATAAAACCAAATTCTCTGGTTCATTTTCATTTTGAGTTTTCTTGGTTTCTGTTCACAAATATGGGCCTCCTGGAGGGATATCCAGTTGCAACATGATTCATATAGTTTCAACAAACTATATGAATCCCTCACTGCAACAAATTGGT